ACTGTCACCCTAAAGATAGACAGGCCTATAACATGGACAGTAGTATCAGGAGGTTACACACTCATGAGAACAATCAGGTCCATAAGATCAAGAAGACAGCATTTGCCCAGGGACCAAAGGATGGAGTTAGATGGTGGGAGAGGATGGGAGGAAAATGAAAGGTCATTAAAAAGACAGAAAAAAACAAAACAAACTCCTGCTATAGAGTATATTCAGACTCATAACAACCCCCTTTGGGTTTCCAAGGCTGTAAATCTTCACACAAGTAGGTTGCCCAGTCTTCCTTCCACAGAGTGGATGGTGGGTTTAAACTGTCAACCTTCTGGTTAGCAGTCAAATGCCTTAGGCACTATGCCACCAGAGGATCTTATTAAAATGACAAGAAAGGAAGCAAAGACCAAAATGGATGCCAGAAGGGGCTGAAACTAGTTCTTGAAGGTAGAGTAGCGAAAGCAAATGAAAGTAATGATGAAGGAAAAGAGCTGATCAGATTCAAAGGGTTGCTCGAAATGACCAAGTAAATTATTATAATGAAATGGACAAAGACTGGAGTTAGAAAACCAGAAGGCAAGAACACATCCAGCATTTCTCAAGCTGGAAAAATAGATAAAATCAAGCTGCAAGTTGCTATATTGAAGGATTCTATGGGCCAAATATTGAAAGGCTTCTCTAGTAAGTTGGGACATTTGTAAGTGGCCACGTATAACCACAGACTTTAGAAAGCCACAAGCAGGCCCAGGACAAAGTGCACATTTGAAACCAGCCAGAAACCCCTTGCCACTGTGTCAGTTCTGACTCATGATGACCTCAAGTGTTAAAGAGTAGAATTACTGCATAAGGTTTTCTTGGTTGTACTCTTTACAGAAACAGATTGCTAGGCTCTTTTCCACAGCTCAGTAGGGGAAGTTCAAACAGCCAACCTTTAGGTTAGTTATCTAGCACAAGCGTTTGCATCACTTATGTCCAGGAATGACCTGAGGAAATCCTGAACTTCCACCTCATGCTGATCTCTAAGCTCAAGTAAGCCTAAGTATTGAAGGGATGACCCAGCCCAGAACCAATCTGAAAGACTGCAAAAGGTGGGGTTTGTTCTATTAGTTCCCCTTCATTTTCTCTACAAGGGATGCCAATGGGAGTCCATTTAGTTGAAATAAAAGGACACTAGACAGCAACTTAAGGAGTTCTAGTTGGTTCAAACTCACCAACCACTCCATGGAAGCAAGACTTGGCAATCTAATTCTGTAAAGATTTACCACCTTGGAAACCCAATGAGGTGTCTCTATGAGTCGGAATCAACTTGATGGTAGTGGGTTTGGTAATTTTTTGTTTTTTGTTTTTTGTTTGAGACAGCAACTTAAATCCATATGAAGAAATAAAGATCTCCAGTATAAGTAAATTCATGGGCAAATATGATGGTCAGTTTTACTATATTTTTGATTTGTAACTTTTTTTGTTATGCCCTGTTGTTATTGTTGTTTGTTGTTATTAGGTGTCATGGAGTCGGCTCCAACTCATAGTGGTCCTACATACAACAGAATGAAATACTGCCAAGTTCTGCACAACCCTCGATGTTTGCTACACTTGAGTCCATCATCACCTGCTGTTATTAGTTGTCAACAAATTGGCTCCAACTCATGGTGCCCCAAGTGTGCAGAGGAGAACTGCACTCCATTAGGTTTTCAAGGCAGTGACCTCCCAGAAGCAGATTACCAGACCTTTCTTTTGAGGTACATCTGGTTGGGTTGTAACACCACACTTTCAGCCACTCAGAGAGCAGGGTACCTATAGGCTTTAACATCATGGGAAATAGCTCTGTAGAAGTGAACAGGCAGGCAATACCTAGCCACGAAGGCATCAGCATTTTTATAGAGTTTACACACGTGGAAGAAAATGGTAAAAGATAAAGCAAAGAAGATACAGCTGCAGGGCTATAGTCCCTAAAGAGTCTGAAGGGAGGCCTGTATGTTGACTGGGGAAAGGCAGGCTCTCAGGGACTCATACAAAAGGAGGGACACTGCTTCTTAAATCTTCAACAAGTTCCAGTTATCCATCTAATATTGCTTGCCAGGAGACTAGGGGTGAGGACTTCTGCTCCGGAGCTTAGTTTGATGTACCACTAAGATCAGTTGGGCCATTTGGGGCTGCAGAGTAAAATCACCAAGGCTTGGGCACATAGGAGAAAAGAGTAGAGAGAGCTCCTGGAGCTAGGGAGTAACGAAGAAGGTCCAGAGCTTCTCGGAGCTCCAATTTGTACAACGGCCCAGGCCCCAGAGGAGAAGGAGGGATATGCTCTCAGCAACAAGAACATAAAAGAGTTATAGACCAGAGAACAGAAGCAGCTACAGAAGGTAGCTCCATTTGGAAAGAATCTCTCCTGGGCAGTCCTGCAGGGAGTAACAAAAGGGCCAGAGGTGAGGGAGAGGAGGCAGCTTCCTTGTTTTGTGTTTCTAGGTCTCTGTCCTCTTCATCTTTGCCTCTCTTTCTCCACTGTCCTTGGTTTTCTCAGTTTTCTTCCTTAATTTGATTCTTCCAATTCTGGCCCCGTTTTCCCTCAAGATCTTCACCTAGATAGAGAGAAAGACCTGAGGACTAGAGAACAAATGAGAAGAAAGAGAGTGAATTTCTTCTCTGGACATATTATCAGAACAGAAGTCCCTAGCAGAGGAGAGTGCAGTGAAAACCCTGCTTTGTGAGATCTGACTCACAGGAGATGCTGTACATGCTGAGGGAGTGGGAAAAGAGGGGAGCTGTCATTTCACTTTGTACATTGGACTCCTGAAAAGTGATAGTCATTGAACTCACTCATTTCGGATTTTTCTTTTTCCAATAGAGAACTAGATGTATATATCAAACTGCCTACACTGATAAGGATGATTTATCAAGAAAGTAGTAGCTAACACCATACTTAAGAAAGAATTCTAAGGTTTTTTAAAGTCCAGAACCAAATCAGGATGTTGACTATCACTAGTTCTTTTATATGTTGTTGTTGTTGTTGTTATGTGCCGTCGAGTCGGGCCTGACTCATAGCGACCCCTCCTTGGGTTTCCGAGGCAGTATCACTACGAAAGTAGGATTGCCCAACCTTCCTTCCGAGGAGTGGCTGGTGGGTGTGAACCGCCAGCCTTCTGGTGAGCAGTCAAGTGCCTTAGGCACTATGCTACCAGAGCTCCTGTAAAATATTATAGGTACTTGTATAATAGGTTCTTTTATATAATTTTGAAAATTCTAAATATTTTAAGATGGTATAAAATAAAAATAAAGGCTTACACTATTCAAAGTTATTGTAATGATAAGTAATTTGCTTTACCAAAAAGAAAAAAAATCCAAGAGGAAGAACTTAACTGAAAAGCTATTAGCTTTGGTAACTAGTATTATAAAAAACTTTATTTTGGAGAATGTTGTTAAAAACAATAATCTGAAGATTTCTTAAATAACAATAACTAACTAGAAAATATAAAGAGAGAAAAAGTAATAATAGAAAAAATTTAAAAAACACTTAGAGACAATATATAATATATATACATACCAGCCACTCCTCGGAAGGAAGGTTGGGCAATCCTACTTCCGTAGTGATACTGCCTCGGAAACCCAAGGAGGGGTCGCTATGAGTC